TCATCAGTTTGTGGAGTTTCTTTCTTGTTCTGTTCTTAACTTGATGTTTACATGAGTATAGATAACCTAATTTTGTTGTTACATGGCGAGGGAAAGGTGTTGGCCATAGTTTCTAGGGTTCTGAAGTCTTCATATGAAGTAAGTGGATGATTTAGATGGAAAGTTTTTGTTGTACTTAAACTGGTGAGTAATTTACTGCTCCCAGCCAAGTCAATATATTATAATACACATTATCATTAGTCTTTGTCTAAAATGGTTCCCTTGCCATCTTAAAAGTTTACTGTTATGTATTCATATTGATTCTGATCTATTTACATTACATCACTGTTTCTCTGGCACCTTTTGTTAATGGAAAGAACATGTATGGAGAACCAGTTTTGATATGGTAGAGAGAAAGAACATTTACATAACCTCTTCAGTTATAATTATAAAGCACAAAACATGTTAGGTTTCTGAATTTTCTTCTTTGAAAATAACCTGTAAACTTTAGATTTTGTCAATTTCTTTTTCCTGTGGTTCAAAGTAGAAATTATATTATTACTATTTTATTTTGTAAACACAGGCTATGGAAATAGTTAAAAATTAACCAATTTCTAGTAAACTTGCATTTGAACCAATCATTGTACTCCAAAAATTGTATGCATAGTGAAAATATTTACTAATATTCTCATTACCTTAGTTTGATGAGTAATTTCACTTGTTATCAGTGCTTCATGTCACTGAGTTTCATTCTTTGTGTGATTCAGTAATTTAGACTTGAATGTGGCAAGTTATCCAATTGTAGCTTACTGTATCACCCATGTATTTACATAGATTGTCAAGAATGGTACAGTGCTTGACAAGAACAACAAAAAATATCCGTAAGTTATTCAGCCAGAATGAAGCACAAATAATATTAGCAAAACAAAGAAATATCTCACGTAGTGTTCATAACGTATAAAACAGCACCATATTTGAAGCTCTGATGTGCATCACAGAAACAAAAACAGTGCCTGATGACCAGCATATTTTGACTGAAAGACTGAAAATAGTAGACTAAGAACAGTGAAATAATCTCTTACCAAAAATGTCACATAAAGAAATAATTACAAAAATATCAAGTTTTCTTCCTCCATAGCATATTAAGCTGCTTTCTGTTCTCCACTCTGATTATGCAGAATTCCATAATATGGTTGCTATTCTTGATCACTTGTCTTCCCAGCAACAAATATATCAAGAGGGGCAGGACGCAGATGCTGACGTTCTTCAAGTTGCCGATAATAACTGTAGATAACCAGCCAGAAGAAGGACGCTAGTGCTGTCAGAAAAGAAACATAAGTTCTGTTAAGGAAACTAGCTAAACCACTACTTTCAAACTAAGGAAACTGAACGACAATCTTTACCAAGTGTCAGTGTTTGAAGGCTATGCACAGTACAATGTAAATATATTAATGTGTGTGATTCCTAAGGACACTTAAAAGTACGTTATAACAAATTGTCCTACTAATACACAGTAATATTTTATCAATCGGTTCATTGTTTACATTGACTCCCAACTTTTAGCTTCCATATCTTTTTGCACAAGCCACCATAGTACAGTACTTACGATTCATGATATTTTCAGAAGTGTACATGCTATGTTGTACACCGATTCTTGTGTTAGTATTGTTGAACTACGGTACAGAATATTTCAATATTTTATCAGCAGTTAATCTGTTATGTGAGAATACACAATAAAGATAATCGCTGTGATAATAGAGATGCTACTTTTGCTGCTCTGATAATAATAAATATCTCCAACAGGATAAAAATGTTTATAAAAAAACAAAAATATTGTATTACCTGGAATGGGCTGAATGTTGGGAGGTCCATGATAAAAAAAAATAAAGGCGAGGAAAAAAATATGAGAATACTATTTTTAGTACCAGTAATATGTAAACAAAGGTGCAAAGGTCAGATTGCAAAACATATCCTTTCCTGTCTTTTAATTCCTACTTCATCTTCATGTAGAACACACTACTTTCACAAAATTCTGGTGACCAAGTCATGGTGGTTAAACTATTGTATCTTGATATGCTCCTATTGCACTGGCAAAATTGAGGATAGTTAGATTTTGTTTCTCCTTGAATTGATTGGTGTGTTAGTTGTGGATAACCAGTTAAGTTGAGTAGACTTCAAACTCATCAACTAATCATTTAACAAGACCATTATCAACTACATTTTATGTGGTGCTGAATAATCTGTGGAGTTTTGTACTTGGCCTGATCAAAATGTAATGAGAGTAAAACTATGGGAATGAAGGTTAATCATCTACTGCACATGTGTTGGGCTGTATTTTTGGGCACTGTTAAATAAATGTGCAATAAAATTAGTCAGACTAAACGCTGACCACGAAGAAACAAAGCCCTGGAATGGTCTGCAAACATAGCAACATGTCAGGACACATTTACTATAGCCACACTATTGCAATGCAATTAATCTTAAATAAATTCTGTCAGTATACTGATAGCTTCTGATCAGATATTATGTATTATAAAAAAACTACCAAAAATTTTAAGCACTTAGATGCCTGAACAGATGCAATCTGGAAGTATGGAGAGAAGAAGAGATTTTTAACTTTAATTCTTTAATAAAATAATATAATTTTGTTCTGGAGAATTGCTTAGTGCTGTAACAAAGGCTTGTGCATAGTTCTTTTTTCAAGTGTGAAAGATGTAACTTCACCAGTGAACTACTATTACTGTTACTGATAATGCTGATGCCTGCGCCAATAAACATTTATTGTTATTTTATCATTTATAATTCTTACCCATAGTCAGTCCACCAAGAATAAGCACGACCACCCCAGCAATAATAATGTTTTCCACAAAAAAGAAGATGCCTATGATAACCACAGCCACAGCGCAGATGATAAGGCCAATCATCCCAAGTATCACATACGGCAGCATAAAAGCAGGTCTTTCCTGTAAATACATCAGTTCAAATGTCACACAGCTTCTGAGCTGGATGAGTAAAAACATAAACCTGTAAGAAATGGCAGCTCAGTAAATTTCAGATGTACATTCCATTGTCTCTATTCATAAAACATAACATACTCCTAACTTTGCCTTCCAGATCCCTCCAGTACTCCTTAAAATAAATGCTTTGAAATTTTGTTTGTGTGAAGTCAAATTATTTTCCAGAATCATTTCAAATTATTGTGTAAGTAAGTAAAATAAAGCTGTCCCACTATGCACCATGTAGGCACTTGGGGGGAAAGGTAGTATAGCTCCTACTCATTCTTGACCTCGGCACTAGATGGGGGTCAGCGGTCAGCATCACGCCCCGGCCGCACTTTACCCCCAGGAAAGGACCCCAATTCCCATTGGATAGGAGGCTGGGTGGGCCCCAGAACCGGTCTGGACGCAGAGGCTAGAGGAAATATCCTCTGCCCCCGTCTGGGATCGAACTCCGGTCGTCCAGTCCATAGCCAGTCACTATATCAACTGAGCTGTGTACATAAAATAAAATGACAACTACAATGTAACTGTTCATTTTATTCCAATTGAGCACTCTGCATATACAAGGTGACTCAGCAGTAGTGTGCCAACTTCATGTGTACATTAATCAGATGATTTTGAGTGAAAGAAAAAGTTTTTAACTTGGGCCCAATCTGAAAAAGTTAAAGAGTCATGGTACAGTAGTTCAAGAAGCTTCATATTTGTGTTTTTCACCATATACCAGAAGTTGTATTGTAATATAAAATGCACAGTCAATACAAGCATTCTAGAACGAATTTGACTTTCTACTTGTGCATAAATTACATACCACATAACCTGCTGTTAATTAGTCTCATGAAATTTGGAATCAGCATGGATATAGCTTCTCTACAGTTTTTATGAATGCAGTATATTTATCATTTGAACATAAATGATCACTGACAGATATACAAAAACTTGTCTTAAGTCAGGAAACATCACTATTTTGAACAAATATACTGACTAACCTGTTATTTTTTGTACTTACTTCATGGGCTCCATACAACAGCAATGCATAAATGAGCATATTTACAGCAGATGACACCAATGCTGCAATTAGAGATTCTTGTGAATCTGGAAATATGAGTGGGAATAAATTAAAACAGCAACTTAAACTGGCAAAGTTGTATATATAAGGACATGAGGAATTTTCACTAGCAATACAGACATTTGTAATACTGATTTATATTCAGTTACAACTGTGGAATAATGAATAAATTAGTAAAACAAATGTGAAATTTAAAAAATTGACGGTGGAACCACAGTTCTGGAGAATCTGATCAACTGAGCTGTGTACATAAAATAAAATGACAACTACAATGTAACTGTTCATTTTATTCCAATTGAGCACTCTGCATATACAAGGTGACTCAGCAGTAGTGTGCCAACTTCATGTGTACATTAATCAGATGATTTTGAGTGAAAGAAAAAGTTTTTAACTTGGGCCCAATCTGAAAAAGTTAAAGAGTCATGGTACAGTAGTTCAAGAAGCTTCATATTTGTGTTTTTCACCATATACCAGAAGTTGTATTGTAATATAAAATGCACAGTCAATACAAGCATTCTAGAACGAATTTGACTTTCTACTTGTGCATAAATTACATACCACATAACCTGCTGTTAATTAGTCTCATGAAATTTGGAATCAGCATGGATATAGCTTCTCTACAGTTTTTATGAATGCAGTATATTTATCATTTGAACATAAATGATCACTGACAGATATACAAAAACTTGTCTTAAGTCAGGAAACATCACTATTTTGAACAAATATACTGACTAACCTGTTATTTTTTGTACTTACTTCATGGGCTCCATACAACAGCAATGCATAAATGAGCATATTTACAGCAGATGACACCAATGCTGCAATTAGAGATTCTTGTGAATCTGGAAATATGAGTGGGAATAAATTAAAACAGCAACTTAAACTGGCAAAGTTGTATATATAAGGACATGAGGAATTTTCACTAGCAATACAGACATTTGTAATACTGATTTATATTCAGTTACAACTGTGGAATAATGAATAAATTAGTAAAACAAATGTGAAATTTAAAAAATTGACGGTGGAACCACAGTTCTGGAGAATCTGACGTAAATACGTCTTTGTATTTAAATTATATTTAGGCAATAAATACAATGAAAGGAAGTTTATATATTAGCTTGATAACTTGCAATAATTGCTTCTTGCAATTTCTATATTCCCTCATATGTTCAGCATTAGTTTTTGGTATTTTTTGGGAATTTCAGGTTCATTATTTAATACTTCTATTTTTTTTTATGTTTTCTGTACTGTCTCATATATTCTGCATAACAGACTCTTTTAGCTTCAATGTCATCCATCTTGTTATCTCTACATAGTATGACGCAACACACAAACGCACCAGTAGCATGAAGTGTGATGCGCCTTTATCCCTTACCTCAAATATGTCTATTATGCATAACTCTTTCTATGACAGATATGAGAGTTCTTACCATACATAAGCACAGCCTGTTCCTTATCAAACATTGCAAGGCGTACTGCACTTGTCACAAACCCCATCACTTGTCCAATCTGTAAACCAGTATGGCAGTAATTACATTAAACTCTGGATACCACAGGAGTAGCTTCTTATGAATAAAATTAAACATAATTGTATTGAAAGTATACTTTCATATTTCTCATTATACCATATAAACGAAGGTTCATGAAGTAACATTTTATTCTTTAGTAATTCAATACACCTATGTAATTACAAGTTCTACTTGCAATAAGAAGGCCATTCAGTCCCAAACTTACAGGATAAGGATTCTGATACTGTACATGGATTAAAACTATACCTCAAGAGTATGTTTAAATGAAACTGTAATTCCAACATTTAAAATATAACAAAATTAAAGTTCACAAGTGGGGGTATTAAGAATATAATGTATCTTCTTATAGGGTTTTACTTACTCTAAGTTAAATAATTACAGTTTTGCTTGCTGTTTATGGGATTATTAATTTTTTGTTGCATCAACAAAGATATGAATATATGATCTGTAAAGAGTTCTTATTCCACATTTTTAATTAATAGGCTAAAAAAGTAAAATGTAAAAATATAATGTTAAAAAATTTAACTTTATTTAGTATTAATAATTAGAATATAAATGTTTAATATACGCGGTGCTACCCAAAAGTTCGGGGAAATTGAATTTGAATTCCCCGCCCACCCTATTCGACTGACCTCGCCCCCCTGCGACTTATTCCTGTTCCCCAAAATGAAATTTCGAATGAAAGGCCGTCGTTTTGACACAACTGAGGAGATCCAGGCAGAACCGCAGGAGGTGCTTAAAACACTCACACTTGAAGACTTCCAGGGATGCATGGAATCATGGAAAAGACGCTGGGATCGCTGTATCCATGCTCAAGGGGAAGGAGACGGTGGAAACTAGGAGTTATGATAAGCGATTTCTTTTATGGGAAAATTCCCTGAACTTTTGGGTAGCACTTCGTAATACGGGGTCACAGTAGCCGCGCGGTCTGAGGCGCGGGCCTTGTGCCACTTTGTCACTGGGACCGTGGGTTCGAATCCCACTCAAGCCGTGGATGTTTGTCCGCGTTTTTCTGTGTTGTGCTGTCCTGTGTACAGGTAGAGGCCTTGCGACGGGCTGATCCCTCGTCCAAGGTGTCCTACCAAAATTTCTATAGATCAAGCCAAAAAAGTTTGAACCCGCGGTGCTGAGGCACTTGAAGAACGGGCTGTTTCCAGTATCCAGTATCCCAGTAATATAATACACATTAGGTAATATAAGGTTCAAATTTATTTAATAAAATCTTTTGTATATTGATATATGAAGTCTCTCTTTTTGATTATGGGGTAACTGGAAATTTTGCTTAGGTACATCTTGTGTTATTCAATCAAGACTTACCAAACTAATCCATCCTAGAATGATCGTTGCAGTCTTCAGGTTGCAGGAACAGCAACAGCATATCATTTTGTCCAAAACAGGTACGCACTTAATTTTAAACCCCATGGCTGTGACTTGCAGTGATCACTCGTTACCTTATAGGTACAAATCATGTGTTAATGTGCATAAAGTAATCATCATTAAATTAACAAATCCCTGCTCAAAACATACTGTAAAGCCTATTAATCTCAAATAGTTCTCATAATTTTTGGTTTGTAATTCTGTCATTATTTTGAGTCTGCGAGGGTTCCACAAACAGAAGAGTCTGAGATGCACTGCAGAACACTTATAAAGAGGTAATGCATTACATGTTTCTTCCATTCAATTCATTCCTTTATCAGAGTTGAATCAAAAAAGTGGATTGAGTGGTAACACCTTAGACCTGTATTCAGCAGATGACCAGTTTGAATCTCAGCCATGTATTAATAGCTGGCTATCCAAACTGATATATTTCATGTTTTCCTCAGTCCCTCCAGGTGAATGTTAGGATAGTACTCTGATGTAAAACTGTATCACTTCCTGCACAATTCTTTGAAATTCATCAAACACAAAAGTTGGCATGTTCTCATGCTTACTAAGCTTAAATTTAAAAAAATCGTGTAATTAAGATCTTAAAACAATACATCACATGTTTGTTGAACTTTGAATTTTGGCCAAATTTATGATAATATCTCAGTGGCATCGAGTTAAATAAAGTTTTAATTTATGTAATTATTTATACACCCCACTTAATGGTACCTGCACCTTGTCCTGGTGGTGGTGCTCGAGTACCTCAGTGACCCCAAGAGCTACTGGTAGGGCCTTCCTAGCCAGATTGGTCGAGGGGGAGAGGTCAGACTAAGACAGGTACCCTGGTCCTCCAGGTTGGGGGTTGGTCACAAGGCTAACAACCTTTGCACCGTAAAAAGGAAGATGTTTAGAAACCTCAACCTCGGACAGATGGACCTAACAGAAGGACCGAATGGAAGAGGAGAATTGAGGAGGCCATGGACCGAATACGGACCGGAGAGCCATGGAAGAAGAAGAATTTATACATGCGCTGACCACTGAACAGTGTACTGAAGATTTCTGTCTTCTGGGTTGTTGCGCCATATAGTATGGTAGATGTTTACCATACTACATGGCGCAACAACCCAGAAGACAGAAATATTCATACTCACAGCTGTTAAAACCTCAAATCGAACAGTGTACTGTTTGCATTGTTCTATAATTTAATAACACTGTTCCAAGCAGTCTGGTAGGTAACCTAGAGGGACTGGAAAAATATGATAATTTAAAATTCAACTTTGAGTCACTGCCCTGCACTGCCTATATGCTCTCTCTGTGGCATTCGTTTTTGGACTCGTTTGTATATCATCAAATGTTATCTCCCTTGTTTCATATTTTGGATGCCGACATATCTAAGAACACAAGACCAGTGAGCAGTTATCATATACCTGGCGAAAGGTGCAAACATACACACGTTTTCTTTCTAGGTGCATTTCTGCACTTTTAGTTGCAAATACGCCTGTAAAGAAAACTTTTCTCATGACCGGCTGATCGACTATTAGCGTCTTAAAAAAGATTGCTAGATGGTGTTGACCATATCTCTATAAGAAAATGGGTTCCCAAGGCCAGCGTGAGGCGAGCACATAACATGTCTGCTTACAAATAAAAAGTTATTTACGCGTCTTGAAAGAGCTCGGGAAAATT